ACATCTGGAGGAGGGAAGGGAGCCTGTTACTGGTGGGCAGGGGTAAAAAGTTCTGCTTCCTCACTAGACCTGCACTGATGTGACCTTTGCTAGAAAGGGTAAGAGTGTCTTGTTACTTCTCCTTCCATAACCTCTACTGATACTTTGGAAGAAATGGGCCTTGTTACCACTCAGTGGGGATAAAGTCCAGCTCTGTCCTCCACTGGGACACCTTGTTACAGCCTGGTGAGAGTGGAAGTCAAGGTTCCCCACTCGGCCTGTGCCCAGTGTGGGTGGGGAACAGTTTTCTCTGTGGTTTTTGCCTGCAGTAGTGCAGTTATTACCTAACACATTTCTGTCTTGCTAAGCTGCCCCTTTCCTGATCCTTTGTCTAGAGAGAGGAGGCTTTTGTCGCAGCTTTTCTTGTCTATGCCCGTTGGTGTTTCCTGGTTGCCGGCTTCTTTAGCTTCAAATCTGGGATAGATGAGGCAAAAAGAAAACCCAGGGAACTCACCACCATGTTGTTCCTTGGGTCCTGAGTTCTGTAGTCAACCTTCCTTCATCTATCTTTCAGAGTCTTCTTATGCTGTCTTCTTTGTAATGTCCAAGGTTTTAGTTGTACTTAAAAGGAAGAATCGGGAAAAGCATATGGACTCCATCTTTCCAGAAGCAGAAGTTTCCCAACAATAGTTTAACAGAGCTAATCTGGAAGAGGCTGGACCTGTTCTCTGCTCAATAAATGCTGTTTATAACAATTAAGAAAATTCCACAGCCCTTTCCTCAAAGAAATTACATTCTGGTGAGAAAAAAAAATTCTGTAATTAGTCCCTATAAACACTTTCATTTTGAGCTACCCTGGATAGAGAAGAAAATGGTAAGGGTAAGAAATCAAAAAAGACATCTGTGAATTACATTGTTTAACCACCATCCCTACACCGTGGTAACTTCCCACACTGAGGCAGATTCCAGAAAATTCACATCCCCAAACTAGCCCAGTTTTCTGATTCAGGCAGGTGCCCTTGGTTCTGTTGTACCCTCAGGAGGCCTGACTTTGGGGGTAAGCAATGAGAGGAAGAACCACAGACAGGTCATCAGTCTTCCGGCAAGCAAGGTGGAAGAGACATGTGTTTCTTCTATGGAAAGCCTCTAGCATCGAGTCCTAGGAATCAAAAATTCCTATGAGTGGAAGATGATGAAGACCCATTTGTGGCTGAAATTTGCTCCTATCTGAAGAACTTCAGACTCTGGCATATCTTGGCCTTCTCAAAGAGTCCATGATATACCTGATATCTTCTAATAAGTCCCTCTTTTGTTTAAACTAACCAAAGAAATTTTTTTTGGTGAAACTAAGAATACTAACTAAATCAACTTGATGAGTTTAAACAGAACACGGAAAACAAGACGTGTGACTTATGATACAATTTTGCAAGGCACAGATCCTGAATGACTAAAAGCCAAAATAAATACAAAGAAGTTTCAGTTAATGTCTGTACCTGCTCTTGAGGTGGTGATCTAAATTCCTTTGTTTTCCTGGCTGTGAGTGCAGCTGACATGTTTAAGGCTTGCATAACTTCGTTGTATCGGAAACGTTGATTGTCTTGGAGCTTAGCTACAAAATCGTCTGAAAAGGCTACAATGGCTTCTATCCGGTGCCGGACCTGGCAGTCACAGAGGTATTGAAGCAGTAGGCACATCTAAGAAGACCATCAAAAAGACGTCAAATTTAATTTCTAAATCCTTTAATAATGTGCATCAAATCATGATCTGTGGTAAACATCCTTAGTTGCTTACTCTTCTCTCTTAGAAACAGAATCCTGATTTCATATAGGCAGCAATGTGCTTGGTCCCAGGAGATGAAACATAATTTATCTAAGCAAAAATGGCAAATAAATGTCCCTAAGCAAAAATGGCAAATAAATGTCCCTTTAGTGGACGCTAATTGATATGGTCTGGTTATTTCCCCACCAAAATCTCACCTTGAGTTGTAATAACCCCCACATGTCAAGGGTGGGGCTGGGTGGATATAACTGAATCATGAGGGTGTCTTCCCCCATGCTGTTCTTGTGGTAGTGAATAAGATCTGATGGTTTTATAAATGGGAGTTCCCCTGCACAAGCTCTCTTGCCTGCCGCCATGTAAGATGTGACTTTGCTCCTCATTTGCCTTTTGCCATGACTGTGAGGCCTCCCCAGCCATGTGGAACTGGGATTCAACTAAACCTTTTCCCTTTATAAATTACTCAGTCTCAGGTATATCTTTATTAACAGTGTGAGACCGGACTAATACACTTACCCTCCCAACCTCCCTTTCAGCCACAGGTGCAGTGGCCAATGAAATATATAAGGGAAACTTTGCTAAGGGTCTTCTGGGAAAGATATTCCATCAGTGATAAGAGACTAGAATTCCCTTCTTTCAAAATGAGTGTAACTGGGTGATGACATGATTACTGCAGAAAGAATAAGGTGAGCATTTTAGGAAGAAAACCACAGGCTGAGGATCACAGAGCAGAAAGATGTTAAGATCTGGGTTACGGATGACATCATTGAGCTGCCGTACCAATTCCAGAAATCTAAACTTAAGACAATTAAGTGGTGAATGCTCATTCATTCAGTGGTTAGCTGGGTCGTTCTCCTACTGAAAACCAAAAGGATTCATAACTGAGTGAGTATGTTGGTAGAAACACTTCTAAAAGAGAACGCTCTGGCAAATTTTTAAAGAATCTACACACTCAATACTAATTGTGATATAAATACATGACAGTGTCAAAGAGGACCTTAAAACCCTCTGTGTCACCATCTGCAATATAACCATTTCTCTCAATGCTGTCTCTGAAGTAGTCACAGTGTCCATCCCCTTTTCTCCATCTCCTTTGCCCCACCCTCCTCTGAGCATCGTCTCCTAGAGTTTGGACCAGCGTGAAAGCCTTCTGACTAACCAGATACTAGATCACACTCTCTTTCCTCCCTCCAGTAGCCACACTGGCCTTTTCCTGCCTCAGGACCTTTGCTGGGCTATTTGTTTTGCATGGAAAGCACCTAGAACACCCTGCCCCGTTCCTTTTCCTTGTAACTGCTGAGCACAACTCTTAAATCTGAACTCAGCTTAAAAGTCACAATCTCTGAGGGGTCTTCCCCCTTATCTTTCTAACAGTAATCCAGTCTAAATGTTCTTTCTTTTAGTAATCCATTCTTTGCCTTCGAAGTATTTAATGCAATTAGGAACAAGATTTTTTAATGCATAAATGAGTGTATATTTCCTTAGAGGCTGTGAGCTTCTGAAAGGCAGGGTTCACTTGTGTTTCCCCTAAGTGCATACCCAGAGTAAGGCTTCAGTCAATGCTGACTAAAGGAACGAGGAGCAAAAAAGCAGGTCAGCGATGCAAACATCAAATTGACTTTAATAAACAGAGGAGACATTAATAAAGGACCCTTTAGACATCTTGATGAGCATCAAGACAGCCAATGTGTCTGATTCCCTAAACACATACTAAGGTGGCTGGGTGCAGCGGCTTACACTTGTAATCCTAGCACTTTGGGAGGATGAGGAGGGAGGATCACTTGACACCAGCCTGGGCAACATGACGAGAACTAATTTTGACTAAAAATTTAAAAAAATTAACTGGGCATGGTGGCATGCCTACAGTCCCAGCTGCTGCAGAAGCTGAGGTGAGAGGATGGCTCGAGCCCAGGAGATCTAGGCTGCAGTTAGCTATGACTGCACCACCACCACTGTACTCCAGCCTGGGTGACTGAGACCCTGTCTCAAAACACCAAAACAAAAGCATACGAGGGGAAAGTAAAACCTTGCTATGTGACAATGGGTGCATCTACGAATGCTGGTAAACGAGCATTCTAAGGTTGGTAAGAGTGGAAATAGGGGTAGAAAGGGGTATTTGATGGCTTGTATTTCAGGTATTCCAATGTAATGAAGGTAAAACATGTATGAAACAAGAGGAGATGGCTAATGAATAAGGCGGAGAACAGGAAGTTAATTTTATGAAGAACTACCATTACACAGGAATGCAAAGAAATAAACACACCTACACAGAAAGAAAGAAAGGCATGTTCCAATACCTTAATGCTTAGTCATTCTGAAATTCACCCAAATCTCTTGTTCTGATTACCTGCAATTTAACTGGCTCTGGCAGTTTCATTTGGAGCAGGCCTTCCTTGGGCCGCTTGCCACCCTTGGCTTCTTCCTCACCAGCTCCTTGCAGCTTTGCGTCATCCACACTGAGCTCTTTCTCCAGCGTATCACTCTCCTCCTCTGGAGTGGCCGCTTCTTTAAACACACTGGGCTCGATCAGCTGCAAGATGTGCTTCAAGTCCTCGTTGTGGAAGATGCCCATGATTAGCAGGGTATAGAAAAGCTTGATGAGAGGCACAAAGAGGAATTCAGTAGTCCCTCCAACTGGGTCCCGCGCGTGAAGACTGCCCTCTTTAACAGCTTCCGTCAGCATCTGTATGGTCTTGGCCTTGAGGATATCCAGTGGGAACTCTGGACTGTACTGGTAACATTCATTACTAACACTTACAAAACTGGGGGAGGAAAACTGCATCCGTGGCCTGAGGGAGGTGCTGAGGCCGATCCCTGGAAGGCCATGCTTTTTGTTCTCATCAGGGAACAGGGTGATGCTCTTCGTCTCCTCCGTCATGGGGACAATGTACTCGTTGTTCATCATGAGCCTGGCAGTGGCATAGGAGCTCAGGTGGATGTCGATCAGCAGGTCATAGTAGCCAGCACGCAGCAAGCCAGGCATGTACTTGTTCTCAATGGCGTAGAGGAGCTGAGGTTCATCCACGTGGCTGCACAGGGCGTGGGCCACCCGGTGGTTCCCAAGAGCACAGACGGCTGAGTAGAGCCGCAGAGTGTGATAGTGAAATTTCAGCAACTCCTCCTGCTCTGTCAACTCTAAGATGTCAACAGATCTGTAGAAGGGAGGAGAGTGGTAGTAAGATTCGAAATGAATGATTTTTGAAAATCTGACTCAGAGGAGAAATCAGTATACATTGTAAATGTGAAGGCAAACAGTTATGGGAATAGACAGTGCAGGCTGAACATCCCTAATGTGAAATGCTTGGGACCGGAAGTGTTTGGATTTGGGATTTGATTCAGACTTTGGAAAGTTTGCATTATACTTACCGGTTGAGCATCCTGAATCTGAAAGTCTGAAATGTGAAATACTCCATTTCCTTTGAGCATTATGTTGGTGCTCAAAATGTTTCAGATTTTGGAGCATTTCAAATTTCAGATTTTGGGATTTGGGACACCCAACCTATGTCTTCTTTTAATTTTCTATGACATGTTTAACGGCTGCATAGTACTTTTAATCATTTCTAGATGTTTTACAGATTTTCTTCTACATAGAATTTGACACTTTTCTAGCACCTCCTTCCTCCTCCATTGTATCAAGGATCTGTTGCTGTGAGCCGAGATTGCGCCACTGCACTCCAGCCTGGGCAACAGGGCGAGACTCCACCTCAAAACAATAAATAAATAAACAAACAACAAAAAAGTCTCTAGAGGAGAAATTGCTTTCATATGTCACCGTCATTCAATTGTTCATCAAATATCACTGAGTGCCTATTATGTATTAGCACTGTGCACTGATGATACAATGGTGAATAATACGGACATGATTCCTGTCCCCAGGGAGCTTATATCCAATTGAGGGAGTAAACCACCCCCGCTGACCAAAATGGAGCAAATTAAATGATCAACTGTGACATGTGTTAAGGAGAAACAAAGTACACACTGACATACATCTACCGCCATAGCAAACTTTAACATATTAATGATTCGTCATGTTATTGGGGCATCAGATTCTTCTCACCCACGCTAGTTCAGACTTCCTTTTTTGGAATTTGGATTTTGAAACTCACCATATTTTTCTGCGGCTGCTAGAAAGAATGAAATTAATGTGGGCCTCGACTCTACCAACCGGTGTGGTATAAATGACTGTGTGTCGCTCTTAGCCTCAGTTTTATTTTCCTATCCATATCTTTTCTACGGCCTGATGTCAGTGACACACTTTTATACATTCCTGTTGCATATGATTTGGAAAACTCCCTTAAGTCCTTTATGAACTTTAGTGGGAGTTTAAATTATCCATTCACATACATATACATCTATCATAGGCAATTAATATAAATTATAAACTACTGAAACAAGGTGTTATGTTGGTTTTCAATGATAGCATGCCAAAATGTTAAATTATAATGTTAAAGTTCCATGCTCAGTAGAGACACAACATTTTCCTTCACAAACAAGAATTCCTTCCCAAATGTTATGTTTGTTTTGGTTGTTCAATATTTTCTT